CCGTGTTGGAAATATAATTATTAAATGCAGTGCTGCGCTTCAAACTGTCCCATCGGCATCACAAGTTGGTTCTAATACAAATACCTTCAAGAGGATATTTGCCTCTAATTGAACTGTCGTGGACATCTGTCAAGTCACTACAAACGGTGCGGCTGTTGTTCTGAGGGAGAACGTCTGCTGCTAGGCGCCGTATTTTCTGCAAGGTCGGTCAAGGTATTTATTAAATCGACCATTAAACGAACCAGACATGTACAGCCTTCGTCAGCACTGAGATGCGTGTACGGCGTCCAACCAGTCTGAAGTTCATGTAACAGGCAGACAAGGCTTCCTTTGAAAAACTGCATGTCTACGGATACAGTTCATGCTCTCAGACATGTATCATCTCAAAGCATTCAGTCCGGACACCGAATTTACCGTGTCCCCAAATGAACAGTCTTGCATTATGTCAGAAACAGAAAGGTAACCGCGCCCTCTCCCCGCCGATTGATAGCTCGACCTTGTGATTCGTTGAAAAGAGCCCGTCTCTTCAGGTTATTTAACGGCGTCCACGCCTGACAATGGCGCTGAGGAAGCGGAGTAGAGGCATCGTAAAAACCGACCTAAAGTGCGTCTTTGACCTTACGGTATTTGGGGTAGGCGGAAAGCTCCCTCAAATTGGCTAGGGTCTGCGAACTACTAACTCCAGTGTAAGACTCTCGTTTGCAACAGCATTAACCTGTTGCATAGAGTCACTCAACGCAATACCGAAGAATGCCGTCATAAACACGGCGGCTGATTCATTGCAACTTTCGAAATGCGAAAGCATAATTTCAAAAGTCACTCCAGAGCTTCTAGCCTGGCTAAAGCGGTCCAAAGTTCCCTAGCTGATACAACCTTACGCTGTTGTGGCAAATTGAGACGTACGGATAGTCGACAGAGGGTGAAATGTTGGCCTGCGTGTAAATTTTCTGTGTGCACTCTTCGCAGAATCGACCTCGATCTTTTCGTCCACAGTGTTCCAAGGAGACAGGCGCTGGTACTAAATTCACACCTAGCTTTCATATGCACTCAAATCAGACCATTCAGACCTTGCTAAGGTCGTCAAAAAGTACACGCGCAAATCGACTACCAATGTACTCCGTCATTTGGTGACCTGCGAAATCACTGTCTTTAGCGCATCACAATAGCTTAAGATGCAATGTCATTATAAGGGGAAAAGTCCCTTATCAGCCTCAAACCGTCCCCTCTCGTGTATCGGTAGCAAGTTGGGGGCAGGGCATCCAGGTATAACTGGCACAGTGGTTGGAGTGGAGAGGGGTCCCCACCTGACGCGTGCCAACCTGCTCGTGAACCAAACGTGGTAGATTGTGGGCCAACTAACAATGTGAAGATGAAAATATATGACCAGGAGATATGGGAGACCACCGCACGAGCGGAAAGTATGCAAGCAAAAATACACTAATAAGCCAGAAATGGCCATTCCAGTCTCCCTTGTCTTTGTCGGTAATATCATTCTGCCTATATATCATGCGCCACTGTGCGGCTGATGGTTGGGCTCGAGAGAGGGCCCCTAAGGCACAACGGAACGAGTGAGTTCCGTATGAACGATCGGTGAGCGACCCCTACCAAAAATACACTTACTAAGCTCAGGAAAAGTAAGTGATTTTTATGGTCCGAGAGAACCTATTTAACGTATCGTGGTATCTGGGTGGGACAGTCAGTAGTGCTAATGCCAATAGGCCTCTGCGATATTCCGTTCAACGTGCATATGCGCCGTCTCCGGAAGCCGGTGGCGCAACCACAATTGAAATACAACTTGGCGATACCCCAAGCGGTAGTCTAGCTACACATAAAAAGTTTGGTGCTCGCGAATACGCACGATCCTGAGCTAAGACCAAGTTGTGGTGAGTAACAATCGCAAGGGTCTCCAGACAACAGAAATGGTTAGGCAGAGATTTAAAATGACCCTATTGGGATTAGAGCAGATGCCACCTACTTAAAAGATAAAAACGTCCATACAAGAATACTAGAGAAGTTAAATACACAACCAAAGCAGCGGGGATGGAGCTGTTATAATTCCAGTCTTGGAGGCAAGACACACCTCCCCTTGTAATATCGAACGATGCGGTGAATTCGACCTTCGTTTAAGATAAGATGGAGCTTATTGTCCCTATCCTTGCGGTTCCAGTCTAGGTGCTTTTTTTCCAGAATGCCGACAGCCTTCCTAATCAAGTGAAATAAATAATCCGGAACGACCGGTGCGTGGTGCTTAACCTTGACGTTACGCAGATCCTAGTTTCTGGTAAGCCATCGGACCTGAGCAACACCGTGACTAATGAGACCGATGACACTATCTAAAATCGGAGCCCCTCTTGCTAGCCGGACCAGCAAACGGGCAGCAGTTATGACAAGAGGCTTAAGTGGAGGTCCGTTGAACAATAAACAAACTGTCGTCTGGAGAATAATCGTCAACGAACGAGTAGCGGCAGCACTATTAAAGTCCGGACATGGGTGGTAGGAACAGCCATCAATCTCCGCCTCAAGCAAGTGCCTTCGTTAGGGCTCTCAGCCCATGATACTGCGTCCATGAAGAAGATCGTACATAAATATACGATAGAGGATTGGATAATATGCATGCAAGCATGTCTCTTTAGAGGGAAGACGGCACAGAGCATCAAATACCTAGAGTGCGTGACCGATCTCATGAAATGCTGGCCGAAATTCTGAAATGTGTTTTCGATTAGGAAGGATTACTTAGGTATGACTGTGATATTGATTAGCATGAAGCATAATCCTATAGCACGTCGGACTCATCAGGATGTCGGCTTTTGGATGCATGCCTTTCTGACCTTCTGTGGAAACAGCGGTCTGCAAAAAATGACTATTTAAGTAGCATGCATTTTCCGTATTGATTTTCGATGGCCTTGCAAATTCAAATATATTTTATGGAAAACGTGCACAAAATATGCCTTCTTTTACTCGTTTGGTAGAAAAGCACACTGTCTTCATATTTTATACCCGAAGAAAGGGCATCTTTAGGTTTTAAAAAAGTTTCTCATTATGAGATTTTCAAGACCTTGAGCCCATAAATCGACCGCTGATGGGGCTTGGCGTATCTGACCGATTCGTAAAATGGCGGCGCGGTTGCAATGGGTTGAAGACTGGACTGAGTCCATACTACCGTTGGTGATAATTGGGAGGGTAGAAGTATAAGTGAATAAGCCTATTTTCTTGATATTCCTGACAACGGCGACTCTTTTGGTCGGCGGAGTTTGATTTGGGCAGGCTGCAGCGACGGCGAATTCGAAGATATCCGACGGGTCCGACAAGTGCATCGGGCGTCGGTCGACAATGCGGACATTTTGACGGATGCTGCGTGTTTGCAGAGTTAATTCGTGCTATTCGAGGCCTGTGTGCTCCTCTCTTCATTTTGACCCCTTCTCTGCAATAGGCCTCGTACATTGTAGGCCCAATATTCACAGCGAACAGAAGTAGCGATTTTGGCGTAGGACAGCCGCTCGAGTAAACACCTGTCATCCTTCCTCATGAGATGCTCGCTCTAACGTAGTTGCATCTGCGTGACAACGAGGATTCCGGCTCTTTTGGGGACTTTTTCACCGGAAATACTTCTCTTCCCCTCAGTCTGAAGTGAAGGTAATTGGGTTTCCTTGTTTGACTTTCGTACACTGTCCATGTCTCCGCCCCATGCAGGAACATTGTCATGATGGCCTCTCGATACAACTTCAGTCTCATTTTAGGGTCAAGGCTGCGGCTATTCTAAACAGCGCTGTAGTCGACCAAAGGCCTAGCTTGTGAACCATGCTCACGGGGTAGTTCACAGTCCAGATCATAACCGGCAGGACAACGGCCTCGTGACTCAATGGCAAAGCATTTAGCTTAACTTGATGAGCAAGGGCTATTTGCCTGAATTCTTGGTTATCTACACCCGGATTAGGCATGTATAGCTAACGACGGCTAAAATGCCAGGAACGACAACCCAGTGTCCCTGTCTGTGTCGTTGTTCCCACAAAATTACTGATGTGAGAGGACGTGACCATCCTCATGGTGTAATTTTTGTTTGTGCTGAGCGCATGTGACATTGTTATGCAGGTATTTTTCCATTTGAGTTCGATCGAGACGTCGCAATGGCATAAACAGTAGGTGAACTAATTCATGAAATGCCAGCCGAAATTCCGAAATGCGTTTTCGTTTCGAAAAGAGTAATTAAGTAAGGTCGTAAAACTAGTCAACCTGAAACACAATTCTATAATATTCCAGTTACTTCAGGATGCCGGCTTTCGAATGAACTTTCTTCCGGCTGCATTCAGAAACCACACTCTGTAAAAAATGACTACTTAAGTAGCATGGATTTTTCTAAATGATTTACGATGCCCCTAAAAGTCCAATTATATTTTATGAAAAACATGTATAAAGATATTCATTCTTTTGCTCATTCGGTAGAAAATTAAGTCGTCTTTAAATTTTATACACGAAGGAAGGACATAATTCGGTTTGAAAAAAGTTTCTAACTGTGGGACTTTTAAATACCGTGAAATGACCGCCCATTATGAGGGCCTAAGATCACGCCTCACAAAGCCGAGCCCCACGCCGCATCAGCAGCCGCTAATTCAGGCGCCCGTAGTTCTGCCAACCTACCATTCTCCCTCTCCTCCAACACGGGGAGCCGTAACTGTTCCCTCCCCTCCGTTTCCTGCCCTCCCGGCTCAGAACCCAGCATGACTCCCTGACAGCATCCCTCCTCACACGCTAATGGTCCGCCCGTCAATGTTTGTCCTGTCACGTCTACTAGGCTAATGTGACTGTCTCACTCTCTCTTTTCTCTTCATTTCGTCCGACGACGGGTTGGTGTCACCAATTCGAAAATTTACGAGTACAACTGGATTTTTTTCGAAGAACCTCTTCCTTTTTCATTAAATCGTCATATCTCTGAATTTAACAATTTGGCTCGTAAAGTAAACAATATGGATCACATCCAGTTCAGATTTTGATCTATCAGGCGAATGTCGTTGGACGATACAGATCTATCCGATGGGACCTCACCTCAGCAATGCGGCTTCCGTCGTCATCGCGGGACCACGGATATGATCTTCGCCGCCCGTCAACTTCAGGAGAAGTGTCAGGAGATGCGGACCCACCTGTACTCTACCTTCGTGGATCCGACGAAAGCCTTCGACACAGTGAATCGTGAAGGACTGTGGAAGATCATGCAGAAATTCGGCTGTCCGGAGCGATTCACTCAGATGGTGCGTCAGCTGCACGAAGGTATGATGTCGCGAGTCACGGACAACGGTGCGGTCTCAGAGGCATTCGCAGTGACCAACGAAGTGAAGCAGGGATGCGTGCTGGCGCCTACCCTCTTCAGTCTTATGTGCTCTGCCATGCTAATGGACGCCTATCGCGACGAACGCCCCGGGATCCGCGTCGCCTACAGGACGGACGGTCACCTTCTGAATCAACGGCGGATGCACTTCCAATCACGCGTCTCCACAACCACCGTTCACTAACTTCTCTTCGTCGACGACTGCGCCCTGAACACCACCTCGATAGAGGGGATGCGACGGAGCATGGACCTCATCTCTGCCGCCTACGAGAACTTCGGTCTGGTCATTAACACGAAGAAGACAGTGGTGATGCACCAACCGCCACCCAACTCAGCCACAGCCCCCAACGCGCCGCCGCAAATCAGCGTGAACGAAACCCAACTGCAAGTGGTGGAGAACTTCCCGTACCTGGGCAGTACTCTCTCCCGCAACACCAAGATCGACGACGAAGTCGCCAACAGGATCTCAAAAGCCAGTCAAGCCTTCGGGCGCCTCCAAAGCACAGTTTGGAATCGTCATGGTCTCCAACTGAGCACGAAGTTGAAGATGTACAAGGCCGTCATCCTACCGACGCTACTGTATGGAGCGCAGACCTGGACGGTGTACGCAAAGCAGACACGCCGTCTGAACCACTTCCACCTCAGTTGTCTTCGTCGCATCCTGAGGCTGAACTGGCAGGATCGAATCCCCGACACTGATGTGCTGGAACGAACGGGAATCCTCAGCATCTACGCCATTCTGAGACAAATGAAGCTGCGCTGGAGCGGACACCTGGTGCGCATGGACGACGAGCGACTACCCAAACGACTCTACTACGGAGACGTCGCGACGGGTTTTCGCCGTCAAGTAAACCAAATTCGCCGTTACAAGGATACCCTGAAGACCTACCTGAAGCGCCTGCAAATCAACACGGCCAACTGGGAAGAGCTCGCACTCGATCGACCGACCTAGAGGAGGACAGTGAAGACAGACGCTGCGATCTATGAGGCCAACCGAATCGCCGCTGCCAAAGTGAAACGCGACGCACGCAAATCACAGCCACGCCCCGTCTGCAACGCCGACGCACAACCGCTTCCAACGTGTCCTCTGTGTCACCGGACATTCCGGCCACGAATTGGACTCATTGAACACCTTCGGACCAACTGCACCTCCCATACCGCACCAACCGCCGTTCCTCCGCCTCCTCCTCTTCCTGCCCCACTGCACCAACCACGGCCGCTCTGGCGGCCGTCACTCACACCAGCATCACACACATACAGGACACAACAACAGACACCATCCCTCCAACCTCCGACTCCAGGGATGAGGATCAGGACTACATCCGCCCTCACTCACCGCACTCGCCTCCACTGCCCACACTGCCCTCGCACCTTAACGCATCGCATGGGCCTATTCGGCCACATGCGGATCCACGAGAGCGGAATTGACCGCCCTCCCGTCTCACCTACCACGCCAAACACCACCCCCACTTCATCACCCATCACCGTCATCGCAACTGAAAGCGACACCACCGACTTCGCCTGCCCACACTGTCCACGCACATTCACCTCTCGCCTCAGATTGGTCGGTCACTTGCGAATTCATCGCACGGAGACTGGCAAACCAGTGCCTGGAGCACCAACCCATATCCACCAAGCTCACCTCCACTGCCCACATTGTCCTCGCACTTTCACGCATCGCATGGGCCTATTCGGCCACATGCGCATTCACGACGACCTGCGGTAGACAACCGCCGGCTACACCACACCACAACACCCTCCCTGCCTCCACCACCACCATCACAGCACCTTCCACGGCCCTCTCACGCAAGTGAGAGACACGCGGTTCAACCCCCGTTGTGTGAAATCCTGGTGTTTGTGTGTATGGGGGGCCAGGTCGTGCTCGTGGCGCGCGCAGTCATGGTCAGTCGGTCATGCCAGCCACCGCGCCCATTTCCCACTCCAGTCTGCTGACCGGCTCGGACAGCGGCTGCGGTGTGGGGAAAGTGAGGTCGACGACTCAGCGCACTTTCTCCTCACTATAAACAATCTGATGCGCATGAAGCTATCACGTTGAGCTAAAAGCCGTGGCTTGGAAGGTTGCCAACTGACGGGATAACTTGGACCTCCTCCTCGACTGGTGGGGGTCTGAGAGTCAGGCTGCAATGGCTCCTTTTTAATGTGGCCTTTATGGCACTCCCACCACAGTGTGGGATCCGAGCCAGGCGTCGGCGGCACGCCTAGATGCGGCTTCGGCCGTGCCAGCCTCCAATCTCGGTTGTGTTGGTTGAAATCCTGGTGATTTGTTGTGTGGACCAAGGTGTGTGGTGGAACGCCAAGGTGAGGATCCGTCCGAGCCATCCACCTGCGGCCTCCCTCGTCTCCGGTCTTCTTGACTCTGTCTTGACACCGGGCCCAGGCGGTGGAGGAGGAGAGAGTGTAGGTAGATGCAGCGCGAGTCTACCGGCACTATAAACCCCTGCGCAAGTCACCGTCCCTGCTCCCACCGCTGCTGCAGCTGTGGGGCACACGGTGGACATCATCGAAATCGATGGTTGAACTGTCACCGGCTAATGCAATGCTACCACTATAAAACACTTCTCATGACGCGGAGGCTTGAGCTCGTGTGTGACGCTGGATGCCTGTCAGCATGGTTGCCACACTCCATAAGGCAGTGTTCGTCGTACTTCCTCACTCGTTATGTTCTTTTGATAACAGCTTGGACCGCAACCGAGCCCTTGTGATATCATTGTGTGCCATCGCACTGCCGGTGCAGCCACCACGCCATTCAGAAGTGTACCTGTGGTCCCGCAAGACGTGCTGTGGCATACATTTAGAGGACCAGCATTTTATTGTGGCCATCATTGTAATAATAGATGATTGAGCGTCTCACAAGATAGCAGAACCAGCTGCGTCCAACGATAACGCGGTCCACTGCAGCAAGACTGGCGATCCACCTACCGTTGGCTCCGCAGTTGTTCACTTCTTTACGGCTGGGGTTAAGGGTGTAGACACATCGCATTTCCTCGTTCTAGAGATCCGAACTCCGCAATGGCAAATCACTTGTGCCGATACGCCGAGCAGTCGTCAGAAAGAGCCTCTTGCCGCATGCTACCTACATCTGCGCAGATCACAACGACTGCCTCACTGGTAACAGTGCCATGATGACAAAAGAGTGCAATCCGTTTCGATACCACTTCTCAGCGCGTAAGAGAAGCTCTGACACGATAACCCAGAGCGATTGTGAAACCGTGCCGAACGACATGTAGCACTTTTTAGCATCTTAATTGTGTTTGAGCCGTCATCGTGTAGCAATTGCGCGTCAAAGGGTGGGCAGGGTTCGCATAGTGAGGCTGTGCGTCGCCGGTGTAGAATGAACTGCTTAGCGTCCCCTCTGTTCAAAGAATGACCGGCGTACACCCTAATAACTGCGACGAGGACGCGCGGGCAGTTTCCGGTGGCAGCGGTTACGGCGCTTTGGCCTGATCGCCAAGGAAGATGACACGACGATCGGAATTATCAGTGACACCGTAGGGTAGAGACGAACGAACTCAACATGTCACACCTTAGGTCAGTGCGAGCCGCAATCAGTCGGTGGCACCCAGGATGGGCGGGCACCCAGAGCCCAGTGCGCCAAAAATCCCATGTTCAGTTACTTATTCATCCAGAAGCTTCGAGATTGCACTTTTTTAAAACCAATCAACGAGTTCACGCGCGTTGGCTGAGGCAGTGGCGACAGCAAGAGCTAGGAGAGGCGATGAAAGCACTTACGTTTTCTTAAGGCGTAAGAAATCGCCGAATAAAAAGGTAAATGTCACACATGAAACAGTTTTAATATAAAAGACCAAAAGAACAGTTTTGGGCAGAAAATCTTGGTAATATGGCGGATGTTGGATGACATTGGGGAAAAATTGCACATTTGCCATGTACTTAAACAGATATGACTGGGGATAGATGCTGAAGTGCAAAGAGGGGTGGACAGCCCATCTTAGCCAGCCTCAGCAACAGCATGGCGCGCGGCCTGGTTTTCAATGGACACCCATGGAATTGCTTGGTATGCTAACAGAAATGACGATATGCTCTGAGAGGGGAGAGGGAGACAACGTGGAAATGGCTGAGAAGGCAGGGTAGTGTTTCACCACGGATTGGAAGGACTACAAAAAAACAAGGCAGCATGCATACTGACATAAGGGAATTGTGGTATGCATGAAACTCGAAGAAACAAGTGTAGCGTCCCGGTATACGTACCAGCAAGTTTACCAGTCACAATTTCACACGGAGGAAGACTAAGCGACTGAGCCACAAATATGCTAGGAAGCTGCCCAGGTACCAGCCAACAGCTAAGCTCGGAGGACAACCCTAGGCTGACCACAGTCCTCAGATTTCTTCTAATTCTATTTTTTTATTACAATTAGATCCGCTCTAATTTAGAAACTGTACCGTCAGTTTCCTTTCAACCACTTATAGCCGCTTGTTGAATCTCGATCGCCAGCATGACGGCACCCCGTTGACGTCCTCCTTTAGGCTTTGTTCAGAGCATTCTTCAAGTGCTGACGGGTGCGTTCGGCAGTCGCTCTGGAACTATGAACGGTTTTTCAGCGAGGATTTTTTATATGGGCTGCCGGCAGGACAGGGGAATGGTAACGCTTCGCCTTCCGTAATCCAGATGGTCTTTCGCTAGATTCTGGGAAATGCACATATGCCTGTGTCCTAACCCTAACCCAAACATTGATCCCAAACCAAGCCCTAACCTTGAACCCAACCATAAACTTAACCTTAATCCTAACGATAAGTTCGTCCGAAGTAAACGCAAAGTCACCTGTATCACGCGACGTCCATATGCCCATGTTCAATCGGGTGGAGCCATATTCGAAATTATAACCAATTTTTCCTGTGAGAAGTCACTCGCTTGGAGACAAATGGAATCATGTCGTGGCTGCTCTATCACCGGGCTTATTCAGAGACGCTCGTGCTGTTGTTAATAGCGCACCAGCAGACACCTTATGCAGTTCTAAAGGAGGCCTTCATCGCCCGCACCGCCTTGCCAACATAGAAACCTTCACAACTACTGAATGCTGAGAGGAATCCCAACGACAAGCTCCTACGATCTCAGAGGCGGTTGATTCTCTATAGAAACCTAGGGAGTCCTATTTAACTAGATAAACACAGTAGTTAACGTTTACTTAGCCATTCAAGGAGCCGAATGGTACTGTTGTTTTGGCGAGAGCTAAATTTTATAAACAGGCAGTTATTTTTTTATTTGATCTCTCTTAGTTATCATCCGTCGGTTTGGGCACTGGTCCATCCCTCCTAAAAATTCAAGTATTGAGGTCACATAAATGTATAGTTTAACCCCTTACAGTGTTTTCAGTCCAATAACCTTGATAACAATGCCGTCTTGCATCACACTCGCGAAATTGAAACTCATTTTTTAGCTTCCCCGTTTGGTTAGACGCCATTAAGGTGCCGCCGGCTAGGGCTGAATTCCACCGTAGGGTAAAGCCAAAGACAACGCGCCCGTCTGCAGGTCTGTGGGCAGCCTCCGCATTTACTCTGCAGGGGGGCTGTCAACGAGTGGCATCCAAGATTGTTTCTGCCCTAGATCGATATTCCTTTCCTCCCCGACCTGATTTTTTCGGTAAAACGCCCCTCAAAAATCCCATGTCTGACAATTGGTCAGATGTCTCATTAGCTACTTTGATAAATTGAGTAGCTGATATTTCTAAGAATCCGTGCAGGGAGTCGCTTTCATCTGGTGGGATATCTTAAGTAATTTTTGCAAAAGCAGGGGGTTGTTGCCTTGATTAGTGTTTAAACCAACTTGTTAGGGTGTAGCAGCCAGTGGAGCCCAACGTCACAGCCTGAGGCTTAATCGAAGATTAAAACGCAGTCATCGCCAAAGGATTGGGTGAAAAATATGTGCCGGATGACTGAGTTTACAATGTAAAGTGTAAGATGTGAGCACAACCTTGG